GCATAGAACATGAAGGACAACTAATATGCAACCCTGACGAAATAGCCAACGCATTAGAGACCCAATACTCCAGAGCCAGTGGCACAGACAGCTATCCTAAAGACTTTCTCGAGAAAAAGAAAGAAGAAGAACAAATACTTTATAACCGATTCTGATAAGCCATATAACGCTCTTTTCACATGGAGAGAATTGCAAGACGCCATAAATGCTGCTGGAGACACCGCAGCAGGATTAGATATATCCCTTACAGCATACTACGTCGATTACCGAAGGAAATACTCTCCACTTTACTAAACATATACAATAATATTTGGACACAAAGTAATTACCCCAAACTCTGGAAAGAAGCGATAATAATTCCACTTTTAAAGGCAGGCAACGATCCACTAAAATCTGAAAATTATCGCCCGGTATCGCTGACATGCTGAGGGAAAATCGTAGGGAAGATCTAGGAAAAAATGGTCAACACCCGGCTAACATGGTGTCTCGAAAAAAACAACCTCCTAAACATACATCATTGCGGATACAGACATCACTCTACCATTGACCAGCTAATATATCTGGAAAACGCAATTCAGAATATCTTCATCAAAAGAAAGCATATGGTTACCGTATTCTTTGACCTGGAAAAAGCTTTCGATAAGACCTGGCGACATAACATTCTGAGACAGCTATATAACTGGTAAATAAGAGGATATCTACCAAAATTCATATCCAGCTTCCTTAGTTTCCAAGTTCGCGTTGGGCATATTTAGAAAGCTACGTACTAGAAAATGGTGTACCGCAAGGCTTTCTATTTAGTGGCACGCTCTTTATCATAGCGATCAACGAGATGTTTGACGGCATAGAAGCGTCAATTGGAAAATCCATGTATGTAGATGACATTGCTATATTTTACTCAGCCAAATCACTGAAAATGATCAAATTCAAAATGCAAAATGTCACCAATAAATTAGTAGAGAACGCAAAAAATATTGTGGGTGATCTGGGCTGTCCGGGTGACGCCGCGTCGAAGGCTGAGTTGCCGACGTTTCGACCATCCTGTCGTGGTCTTCCTCAGAGCTATCCAGCCCTGAGGAAGACCACGACAGGATAGTCGTAACGTCGGCAATTCCGCCTTCGACGCGGCGTCACCCGGACAGCCCAGATCACCCACATGACTCTGGTTGCGGAAGCCTACGACTTCAGGCAAAAAATATTGGTTTCTCATTTACAGCAGCCAAAACTAAATTCGTTCACTTCTGTAGGAAATGAAAAAGTTACAGAGATCCAGAGCTGGCGCTGAATGGTGTTCAACTGGCATACAATGAAACGGCAAAATTCCTTGCTTTGATTTTTATAGGCATTTAACATGGAAACAGCATATAGAATATACCTCGCGTAGATGCCAAACAGCTCTGAATGTAATAAGATGCATTTCCCACATAAATTGGGGAGCAAATAGAGACATCTTACTCCGCCTGTACAAATCTATGGTGATGTCCAAAATAGATTATAGATGTGCAGTGTACCCCTCAGCCAGAAAATCAAATTTATGGAAAGTAGATCCTGTTCACAATGCAAGTCTTCCTCAAGCCTCTACTGTGAAACTGTCAAAATTGCTGTCTCTATCGAAACATTTAAACCACTCATTGACGACTCGATCTAAGATAGCAAATATTTACGATCAAAGACCTTCAGCTACTCGTCCAGCCAACATTCGCGCAATCGACATAGTCAAATGCTATAACATCGTCCTACTACCAGTTTTGAAACACGAACCACATGAAATTCCAGTTTGGATGTTGAAAACGCCAGAAGTAAGACTTGACACTACCAGTGTAAAGAAAAAAGAATGCCTTCCCATGGATTTAAAAGTCAGATTTCGATCAGTTCTCGAAGAATACATGGAAAATCACTTCATAATCTTCCCATATGGTTCAAAAACAAAACATCGGGTTGGGAGCGCATTTGTAACTGAGAACTTGTCGAGGGTTTGGGCGCTTCCACCAGAAGCAAGTGTGTACACTGCCGAATTATACGCAGTATTGCAGTCTTTACGACACTGTGAAACTCTCGATTCAGGAAGGTTCGTCATCTGCATAGACTCGCTAAGTCTTCTCACTGCAATAGCGTGCACTGCGTGTAGTGCAGTGTAGTGCAATGGAAAGATAATTTAATTAGTTATATGGAATAACCAAAGAAAGATGTGGTGAAAGTGTGGTGTAGTGTAGTGTGGTTTAGTGTAATGTAGTGAAGTGAAGTGAAGTGAAGTAAAGTGCGAGAGTAGGTGGGGAGCAAATCTAAATGCTTAAAGAGATAACTTTAAAAATCGACAGTGTTTCTATTTAAAAAAGAAATTGTATAATTGGTTAATTTTATGTATATCTGTGCATGTTTACTTGGTGTAACTAAATATAAGTTCTTCATATAAATGTAGGCATGTATACTATGTAGGGCAAGTGTGTGTTCGTGTTATGTGTAAACGTGAGAGTTAGCATTCATGTATAATAAGGTGTATGTGTGTGTATGTATGTGTGTATAAGTATATGTGTGCATGCACACATATAATTTGATTAACGAATGGTATTGCTCATTGATTTTTAGGTAGGGTTCAGTGATGATGTAATAGCATTCTCGTCTATATTATTTCAGTAGTATTCATACCTTTTGCGTCTCTTACACGCAACTAATCTTTATAAATTAGTTTTGTAAAGAAAGAGAATTTTATGGAGAAGTGACAAATGGCACTTTAACTTTATAAAATATGAAGGGGTTCTTAAAAAATATAAATATTCATGTCAAATATTCTCTCTATTCTTCTTCGCGCTTTCTGGAATTTATTTCATTATTTCATTGATTTGGTCGACAGACAGGTCACCGAATCTTGCCATGTTATTACTAATGAAAATAACTCTAGAGCGATGTTAAAATCCAAGAAGTTATATTATACATACGCGGTTTATTGAACACAGCGTTTGATACATTACCGCTTCTCTAAATACATGCGTCGGAGCTTATTAATTGGCCACTAGGTAGGGAAGATAAGAAAAAAGTGATTAGAAAAAAGCGATCAAAATTTTTTACACAAGTTAACACACTATTTGTTTAACTTTCCTACGAGTGAAATAGTCACACAAGTCTAATTTATCACGAGCGATTTGGATATTTGATAAAATTATTGGATAAATCTCCCACTCGCGAAACGAAGCGAATAGGGGAGGGGATTTATCTAAGAATTTCCAAAGCAAGATTAATAATTGATATGACCATTTCACGAATGAAATTTGAATTTGGAGAGCTGGTGCATTAATACTCATTGGGTAAGTTATTCTGCTGTTTACATATTTTATTGATTTCAATAGCCGTCTGCAAAGTTAAAATCAAGGATAGTAAACTCTATACGTAACGATTAATAATAGTATAGATACCAACAAATGGAAAATGCACGAAACGTATGGGTTTATTTGATGAATTACTTATTAAATCACAATTGTTAAATACACAACCACCAAAATTGAATGTTGCAGAAACATTCCAAATTAAGTTATTTAATAACATTGCTAATGCATTAGTTGCTCTAGTAGATGGTGTATCTCTTAACTTGTTTATAACGGATAAATTATGTATTATGCTCCTGATGTATTTGCTGATCGGAGATGTTGAGAAAGGAAGCATTAGCATGTCCAATTATTTTTATAAGTTACTGCTCTTCAACAGCAACGTATAAATGGGAAAATATAAATTGTATACCTTGTTCGGATGCATCAGAAATTTTTGCTGTCATTTCCAACACTGTGTGAATAACACAATGGGAAATCGCGCTGATATGTAAATAAATACACGGATCGATATACCGTCTCCTAAAATGTATGAATCGCAGCTAATGATTGGACACTAAGGAGGAGGTGATTAAAAAAATCGATAAGAAAAACTGATGATTCTTCTGTGAATCTTCGAATCTGGAGTGCCATGTGTTTGCAACGCTGTGATAGCCGGTAGAGGTGATGACGATGGTTATGAGTGCCACCAGTCACGTTCGCACCCTTCCCTAGAAACAAATTCTCTCGGGCGCGAACGCGTGAAACTCTCATGCTCTTATTACAGCGAAGGCGTTTGTACTTGAAACTGGATACAAGGGAATGTTGCAACATTACTCCTCGCTCTCTCCGATATAAGTGACTAGACGCGACATCCCATCAAGCTTTCTCTGACACAAGTCCCTGCCCCTTCCTCTACGTTCCCGACGATATAAGTGACTATCGCGACCTTCCTCCACGCTTTTCCCGATATAAGTGATTATCTTAGCCTTCCTCTACGCTCTCCGATATAAGCGACTAGTTGCGACCTTCCTCCGTTCTGTTCTCTTACAGAAGAGTATACCAGTCCTATATGAAAATTCTCTTGGTAAAATTTGAGGTCATTTTTGAAAAAATGTTGTTTGAGCATCTGACAATGCGCAATTAGTAACTCATTTTCACGGCAACGTTTCGAGTTTTTCGAGAAACTACATCAGAAATAATTTAAATAACTTGCGTTTACAAATGCAATAACGTATAGAATTAGCCGGATTGTAAATATTAACAAAGTATTTAAGAGCAATACATTTCAATTATTAATACAAGTTTTACAAAAATAAGTATCATATAGGGACAAATATTAAAAACGTAGTAGACGAAATCGCGGGGATATGAAGTAAGACAGAAATTATTATATGGTCTCTTCTGATCCACCGCTTGGAGCAAGTGAAATGACCTTCGCCACGTCTCGTTCTGTTGAAGGAGAACTGGCCATTTTTTTCGAATCTTTTTTAATCTAATTAAAAACTTCATGTTAATCAATATTAAAATCCTTTAAAAAGTGTCTGGCCGCCAGTGATCTCACACTACTCTAGAAACGTGGCAAAGCAGGAAATAGCATCCCGCTTAACGCACCGCCGTCCGGACGTTGTGGGGTCGTTACGTCAGCAGATGGCGATTTATTCGCGGAACGCGGCGCGGCGCCGAGCGAGTCTTGTGTCTGGGAGACGCAGGGCGAGAGGTGATGGGGGCCGCGCGAGTTGCGCTGTGGGCGCTGCTGTGCGCTGCACTGGCACAGGGGGCCTTGGCGACCACGCCCCCCTCCTCGCCCTTCGTGCTCCGCAAGTGCTGTGCCCTGGACCAAATCCTCAACGACAACTTGAGCGCTTGTGTTCCTCTGAAGAACGCCACTCATCTCAGCTTAAACATAGCCATCATTCAGGTGGGTTATATATTTTTTTAAACAGGAGCAAAGTGTGCTAAAAAAAAGGACTTTATCACTAACGCTAATGGTGAGGCGAGTTCAAACGTTCAGATAAATCTGAATACATTAAAGAAAACTAAATACTTTCGTCTGATTGCATCAGCTACTACGAAGTTTAAAAATAACATTCTGGTTTGTCTGTTTGATAAAAAAAATGAAAATAAAGCTGTCTATAAAAATGATGTATGTTAAATGTGATGAAAGTGATTTTATTTTGCAAGTAGTGGCGCGTGACTTTTTCTACTCATATCGTAAATATCTATTTTTTTACGATCGTACAACAAAAGTGTTTTTACGTGCGGGTAGGTGTATATGAAGTTAGTCTTTTCTTAAATCGCCTGAAAAACATGTTGAAACCATGCGTAATAGAGTATCTTTCACGGTGATGTCCTATTGCCTAAAAGACTTTCACGCATGGTAGATAGATTACACGAAAGGTAAGAAAATAAAGCACTCACTATTGACAACACAACAAGAATTTTACAATTATTAAACTAATTTCAATAGGTAACTATTTACTTACAACTACCTGTTAGCGAATAATTATTATCACACATGAAATTCGTAACAACGCTTTTAGATGATCACCAATTTCTCAACTGATGGCGAGATTTTTGTAAATACCCTAGCAATTTTGTTTATTAAATTAGATACTGCAGCGTTTGCAAATTTCAAAAAAAACAACTGTGGAATATCAGAATGATTTTAAATTCACTTACACAATAAGAACTCGTATGGAATAAAAATGCCTCACAACCTTCTGTACCGAAACCACGGCCTTCTTTGATACAAACCTTAAAAAAAGTGGGTGTTTCTTTCAAATAAACCCAATCGGCTTTTACAGTTGAAATAAATCATGATTCGTAATAGAAGCATTTTTATTCGATTGTAAAAAAATGTTTATTTTTCGTGAACAAAATGTGTTTTGGGTGACTGAGATAGAAGGTTTTTTTGTCGAAACCAATAGAGCGAGGCAAACAGAAATTGAGGTATATTCATTAGAATTATTCATTAGATATTTAGTGTAAAAAACTATTTAGTAATACTGTACACTTCTATCAAGATTACTCAATCGAATAAGAGGAAAGAAAACTCACTCTTCGTCCTATCTGCCGACGTCAATTTAGAATTTTAATAGTCCGTTGTCCAAAAATGGAACCAATTGATTTGTTGATAAAAAAGATAGATATCTCCCATTCCAAAGAAAGTTTTTTAATTATATTTTTTTCTTATAATGCCTCCTTTTGTAGAGTTAAATCAAGTCCGTTATATGCTCAAAATCAGCCAAATGACGTTGAAAACTAGTGTGTGCGAATGTTCTTTTAGATTCGAAATCCGCCCCGGTTGTCAATTGTGGTTCACGTTGAATCGTAACCCACACAAGAAGTTCACCCGCAGAGAAGAATCATCCGTGAAGGTACGCCTTGGATATTTGAAGCCACAACTCCACTTCTATTTTTCCCGGCAAATGTCGGTCGTTCCTGAGCGTGACAGATGTGAAAACTAAGTGTTCGAAAAACATGGAATCCTAACGGGATATTACTTAAGGGTTTTGAATTCATCGGACACTCGTCAGGCTTCGTACACGATGACATGACAATGAGAATTTCCGGCCCTTTCGAAATCCTCCGCTCTCAGGAAAGATTGCCGCTTCCGCCCCTCCCCCCACTAAGAAGGAAGTGGGTGTGCTAGACTTCAAACTAACTGAGCACGAACATCACGTTTGTGTCTCGTTTCAGTAAAAAATCCATTTCGGGGCATTAACATATAATACTTTTTGGTCTATCCACATGATAATATCTAAAAATGTATCAGTTAAAAATATAATTATTGATTTCAGTTATGGAAAATAAAAGGGAATTAATAGGGCATTAGTATATTCAAATTTGTTAAATTATCAATATTAAACAATTGAATATTGTCCTATATGTACCGGGCGCTAACCAATTTCGCGCACGATACTTATATTGTGATACTTTTAATAATTATAATATTTTTCAAAAATGCAATTGAAATAAATATTGATTAAAAATAATTTAAATATACTGGAACCAACTACTGTGTCTTACAAAATTTTTACCACATTCTATAAAACCTGTAACACAAAATTATAACAAATATGACTTAATTACACGCCTCATAGGCCTTATTTGTGCTTCCAAATGCAACGTTGCATCGTTGGGTAGGCTGGTTTCGTAGTATGTTGTCAGATTTTACCCTTTTCTGAACATTAAATATTAATATTATTGCTGTAAGAAATGTAAATAATTACTATTGATTTTTGTAGTCTACGTTCTGATCGTCTTTTCTGTATTGTGGATATTAAAGTTGAATTTTCCTTCTTTTCACAAGCGAATGTCGCAAACATTATGCCATACACAAGTGCCTGATATTTCCAGTAATTTTACATTCTAATGCTTGGAATTTGAATTATTCAACCTGAATCTCTCTGATCATAAGATATTCTAATGATAAGCTACATAAGGGATGTTTTGATTGTCGGCAGTAGTGAATCAAATACACCAGGGGGTTATATGGAAATTATATTTTCTCTTATACATAATGATAACTTATATGCATGCCTATTCAAAATACTTTCAACAACATATAAACGGGTATTATCGACCTAGGGAAATGGTGTTTTAAGATAGGTCAGACGATTGTAAGATTAAAGATGCATTTGTGAGTGACTTAAGATTTTTTTCACATAAATATCTAATTAATCACAGTAATTAAATAAATGCATTAAAAGGTTAATTTATAGATAGGCTACTTGCTACTTAATGCAATATTTAATAAATGTAAGTTATTTTTGGAATAAATATATTTCCTGCTTATGTACTTTGTTAATTTGATGTTTTTTTAATTGATGTCAAATTAGGATTCTTCATTGCAAAAACTATCTTCTTTTCCCACGAACAATAAAATCCTATTTTAATGTGTCAACTTTTTCAATATGTGTAAAAAATGTTAACGGTCATTAAACATTTTTACATCCACTAACAAATGGATAGTTGTAAGTGCATTCCAAATGTGAATAAAACTAACTAGTATCATTTCTAGAGGGAATGTTATCGTCTGAAGTTTTAAATCTGCAGAAGCTTCTTTGGTAGAAATCGTAAGACCCCACGGTGAGTGATAATCGACGAATCTAAGAATCTGGATCTGACTATGCTATTTTCTGGGCAGAATATTAGCAATCGGCTGTTCTAATCGATATTTTGGAAGGCTGCTGATCAATTTTCAGATTATTTCCAGAATTGTACGAGGAAAAAACTGGTCATAATAGCAATAATAGCATAAACAACTGGTCATAAACAAATAGGTCATAATACGCTCTCTTTCTTTCTCTTCGTTTTCTTATTATTACATCTTTTCGTTACACAATGGCTGTTCCCCCATCACCTCTATGGCTTATAAAATCTCTGGCAGAACTCCGCGGTAATCAAGCTAACGTGTAAAGTATATTTTAGTCATAAGAAGAAGTCATTTACGAACGCAAACATTACGGAAGTAACAATCTTCGTTGTTGCAGAAGGAAAACCTCTGGTGGATGGACGCTAAAGTCCGCGTTGCTCCGAAAGGGAAGATTGAGAAGCTGTCGGCTCTAGCGCAGAATGCAACGGTGCTCTACGAAGAACGGCCCTGCGAGGCGGATATCACGTCCATCCTGTGGACCACAGAAGCTTCACTCTACATGAACGGATCTCTTGGGGTAAATTTTCAGACTTTTGATTTTAAAATACTACCCTTACATTGTCTTTTCCATCATCATGTGCAGTATGCATTCCATTTGCACCATTGTGTTTCAGGGGGTTGCTAGCTAACTAAATTTGAACGAACGAATATGACGGCGGCTTATTATTTATTAGGTCACAATTTGTTCAGTCCCCCTCTCTTTCTATCTTTATTAGTATAGATTGACAATTTCTTCTGAAAATATAATTTTGAAGTATTTATGTTGCTTTCGAATCCAAAGTTT